TTAATAAACCTGAAGTTTTTGATTTATCCATTTCTATAGAATATTGACTAGAAGGTAGTTGGATCTTAACTAATTTTTCATTTTGTATCTAACAAAAACAATATAAATAAATCTCATAATATATATCTTTTTATAATGTAATATTATAAATAAATTTTAATATTATTTACTTGATATATATCAATTTGGATAAGATCCCCAGGTAAGATAACAATATGGGATGGTTCAAGTCTTAAATTTGCAATGACTGATAGTTCAACTTGTGTGGTAGGCTCATCAAACATAGATAATTTTACTGAAACCTAAAACAATAATTAATTAATAATTTAACTAATTTAAGTAGTACTAAATATAATCAAAAATTCAGATAATTTACGTACTAACGCTGATCCAGTTTTAACCCCTTCAACGAGAACCATATGACCTTGTCTATTTTTTTGATCTAAATCATGAAGATCTGGTGGAGTTCTATACGAAGAATCTTTAAATGATATGAATTTTAAAACAGTGTTTATAGGACTTCTAAGCACTTTTATAGACCAATTAAATTCTACACCATCCAATGTTGTAAATTTATTTCCTGAAATAAAAACAAAATTGATAAATAAATTGGACATTGAACATATTTTTACAGTAATCATACCTTAGTTTTAAATTATAAATTTAGATAACATTTTAAGAAAATACTTCAATATGAAAATTATATGTTTAAAAATAGTTTCTTATCAAAAATATATTTTAGTGATAATACCAGAAATATGGGAAAAATAAATTTATACTTGAATTTTTGAATTTAATAAATTTTAAATTTTGATATAAATATTATCAAGCCTGGAATGGACCACTGTGCTACTGCACAATATGCCGCATGCTTCAATTTTGTAATAAAATACTTAAGTTTTTTTAAACAATTAATGAGTAAAGCCTTTTTTATCTATGGGCCTATGGGCAACCTGCTTACTGAGAATAGTAGGCCAGTATTTTCCCAGACCAGGTCTGCATATTATATACGATTATTAGAACTATCAGCTAGAATGAATTATTATAAAACGATAAATACCTAAAAATTAATTCATTTTTTTATTCTAATTGTACTAATATTAGTTTTTCTAACTATAAAATAACAATATATCCTAAATATTAAGTCTTTCAACTTATAATGGTCATAGATTATAAGTACCTTGTTCATCAAACGCGGATACTTCAAAAAGTTCTGGTGCATCTCCAACAAATAACTCTCTAGTCTTTGTAACAATTTGTAAAGACTTTATAGTGTCAACAATGACATCACAACGTATTGTTTCACCAGAATTAGCGTCTTCTGCAAATATAATTGCTATTCTGCGCACTTTCTCGTTTGTTAGTGAAGATACAGCAACTTTGCCTGAACATCCAAGTACTGGATTAACGTCTAAAGGAACGAGATTTATAATGTTGTCACCCCTGAATATTGACCTAGAAAATTACACTGATATTAGTAGATAAACAAGAATTATAGATGTCACAAACAATGAAAACCTAAATAAAAATGTTTTGGTTTATTTGGACTACAAACAAAGTCATGGTAAGTCAATGATAGTAAAACATTATTACAAATAATTATAACATACATTAAATTTTGGTATAAACGCCATTAATATTTATAATTATTACACTTCTAAGAGATATTAGTACAAATAGTGTGCAACAGCAACATAAAAATTATAACACTTACCATTTGTAACAGCCATCGTCTGTCACTTCTATATTAAATTTCACAGTGAAAGTGTCAAATACCGGTAACAATACTCGGGGAACATTGAGTTTAGATCCAAAAGTATTATTAATAGATAAAATGCCAAGTAGGACAATAGGCAATAACTTTTTTGAAAACATTATCCCGATTTATGATGTTAAGTTTATGTCTAAAAGTTCATAACGAGAACAAAATAAATAGATGATCGTTCTAAAACAATAGTCAAATAGAAATTAAACACAAATTTTACGAAAAAATATAATCGCTGTAAATTTTTAATTTTACATTGTAAATATTAAATAATGTGAATAGTAAGTACTAAACTACTAAATAGCATAAACGCGAATCTGTAAACTGTAACCGTGAAGTAGCCGTTAAAGAATGACCGTCGACCAATCTTCGTAAAAAACTAACCTTAAAATTGTTATCACTTATCACAATGATACAAATTGCCAATTGGAATGGATAATATTTACCACGAATGGGACAATTTAAAAAGTTCAAATACATATCCAGTACATACTATATATGTGTTTTCTAACAATAATTTTTTTGCGGCGGCGCTAGGATTTTATATCTAGTAGGACCAATTTAAAGTATGTAATTTTACTGTAGCGCCGATATATTATATACCTACCAATAAAGTGTTAAGTCTTTGCTCCATAACTCCTACCAAAATCATACCCAGTCACCCAGAGAAGGAATCTATGAGGTCTTGACCCCAACAACATTTTTGTTAAAGTAATAAATAATACATTATTCCATTAATATGAAAAGTTTAAAAAAAATTATCATCACTTAAGAACCCCTTCAATAAAATTAAATCTAAGCTACACAATATCTTCTATTTTATATCATTCAATTAATCCACAAAATAGTATTTAAACCGTAATACACATAGATATATAGGTACTTAATTATATATTATGTATAAATCAAAATAATATACCATAATAGTTGTATTTAATTTAATAACATTTATATCATATATAATTTTAACCATCCACATAATGAAATAAAATAATATTGGAATAGTTACAAATTTTATTTCATATTGCTCATTATAAGTTATACCTAAACGTTAGAACATATTATTAACTTGAATGAAACAACTGACATTATACATTTAAATATATATTTAACTCATTTTTATGTTTATAACAAACAAGTTTAGTAGGTAAGTACTCGTAGGTAATAGGTATACTACGTGACTAGATCATTGAAGACCAAGGTACCTATTAATTATTGCATGTTTCCAAAATTCCAATTATTATGAATTTATATTTTCTCATCGTATCATCGTACTATTAAAAGACAATGAAAAATATTTTATTATTATTGAGTGTAAAGTCAATTTCCATAAAATTTCAGGGCCGATCAGTGAATAAGTCAGGTATTTTCAGGGAGGGCATAGTCCACCCGTACCCACTCTTGGCGACGCTATAATGCATTTTTTATTACACAATCTATAAATAATATTTGTACAGTAAGTTTAAGTGTTATTAGTATTTAGTGGCTTAAGTTTGTAATTAAATAAAAAGACAATGAAGGCACTTCGGCATAAGTGCATTATTGGTTAATGGTTTTCAGTTAACTAGTAAATAAGATTCAACAATCAACACCACTTACGTTTTAGACGCCTCTCAAGGTTATCAGGGATATTGAGATAGCTAGTTCTTTCAAAAATGGATTGCGTTAGGTTTGTAGTTTGTAGATGAAAATATGAAGTCGTATTGGTTTTTTACGAAGAGTATTGGCAAAAAATTTGTGTTTATAATTAATAATATTTACTTGTATTAGGTAATAGATAGGTAGTAATAATTTTATAGATAACTTGAAACCTAAATAGTTAGTTAAATGTTAAATATTATATGTATTAATAGTATACATTGAAAAAAATAATATAATATGATATGGTCTTTGAGAAAAAAATCCCGAGTAACATTAAAATTAAAATTTTTATTTTTAGTTTCTAGGACGATAATAATTAATTTTTAAAACAAAAATTATTAATAAAGGTACGTTGGTATTGGTATATATAATATACTCTTATAAAAAAATTAAAAATATTGTTTACTCGAGAGGCTGGGTGACAGCTGCCTTCCCAGTGAAATATGCAACTGTATACTCACTCATCTGCAATTTTCAAGTAGACTAGATTTCAGAAATTATGAAATATCCGATAAAAGCACTCGTCCTAAGTCCTAAGAAACAAAGGATGACTGTATTCTTAACTTTTTAAATACGTAAAAAAAAAAAGAAATTTACTTAGCTGAACATAGGGACTTAAGCACACTTCAACATTGAGTAAGTATTGACTCAATGACTGTAGACGTATTAAGCTTGAAATATGAATTAAATTGTCATATTAAATTGTATTCAAAAAATAATTCTGATTGGACTGATTAAAGATGGTATATAAGCTTCTATTTCTAATTATACTTTTAAGGAACAGTTTGTATAACATTTTTGAACTTTTTGACAAAAAACAAATATTTTATAATAATAAAAAAAAAAAAAAAAAATAGCAAAATTCTTAAATATTTTACTAAAATTATACCTATTAACCTTCCGTAATACAGAACTCTGCATTAGGTATTGTAAATAATTTTAAAAAAGAATAGTTAAATATCTTAATTGTATTTATAATATTGCTATCTTAAAATGTACATTGTATTAATAATTAATAGAAAAAAAACTAATACAAATAATGAATTCTAATAATTTAATTGAAAAATAATAATAAAAAATTGAACTGTTTCCGCCCGGGATCGAACCGGGGACCTTGTGCGTGTGAAGCACACGTGATAACCACTACACTACGGAAACCGATGACGATTACAAGATTAGTTCTCTATTTAAATAAATATATTTTCCATAAAACATAATATAATGATAATTTGATAAAAAATTACTTGTTATCAAACTGTTATTTATTATAATTTTTAGTACTTGTATTATCTATTTAAGTTTACATTAAATTTATAAAACTTTCTACTAGGTAACATTAAATACTTTTATACAAATCAAGAATTTAAAATTATTTTTAATTTGTGACTTGTTGCATTAACATCAGTCTATCGTGTTTTACATTAGAGTTATTATTAATTTTTAATAACTATTTTGTTTTTTATTTATAAAAAAATTGTATAACTATTGACCTGTCAGTAACCCAATATTTAATTAATTAATTTTGTTACAATTATATGTTATAAGATTTAACTAAGTATTCAAAATCTATATTATGTATTTTATTTATTGTAAATACAAATAATAAGATGGTAACGAGTTATGTTACAATATTTAAAAATGGCACCACTTATAATTGATTTTGAAAAAGTTTGTCGATTATGTCTTCGTGACGATGATGGAAATAGTAAAATGGTATCAATATTTGAAAAACCAGTTCTTGAAGAGACTATAAGAAATTGTGTACAAATTGAGGTAAATATCTGTTAATTACAAATTGGTATTATAACTAAGGTATGTTTTTTAATTTTTATAATATTCTCAGGTGTTATTAAATACTGATGAACCAACTAATATATGTACAAGTTGCATATTAAGTTTGGATTCTTGGGCTAAATTCAAATTACTGTGTGATAATACCAATGCATTTTTACAGCAATACAGACAGGATAAGAACGAGTCTGACTTAGTGGTAATATTATATACAAATTAACCTTAAAAATAATTGTATTTTTTCTTGTTCATTTTAAGTTAACTGTTAACTTGAGTATACTTTATGAAAAACTATAGAATTATTGCTTAGGTAAATTACTTAAATACTTAATACTGTGTATTTAAAAATATTAAAATTTAATTCCATCTCCAGCAGATTAGATTATCAATTATTATATATTAATATTTTTTGACGAAATCTATAACAATTAATGGCTTGAAATTATTTTAAAGTTACAGCCAGTTCTATGTATGTCCTTCAAATATAATTCTAACAATTATATTATTTAAATAACTTTAGCCACTCATAAAAAAATAAAATTGTTTGCATTTATATAATTATATCACTGTTAATAAATGTATATTTGCTTTTAGTTCAATTCTGATATAACAAACTTAGGACCAATGGGATTCACACCATCTCAAATGTCAGACTTGAGCATCAGTTTTTTTGAAAGTGATTCTTTATGGAATGGTTTAACACAACCATGGAACGAAAATGATCCTATATGTACGGATTCTCCTTTTCCAAAGTATATGAAAAAAGTACAACCACCTGAAGATTTAATTAATGATACCATATCTGGTAAGGAATGTTTGGATTTAGCTTTGAATGTATTAAGCAAAAAAGGCTCTAATTTTACCAAAGCCAATTGGTGGAATCCTAAAGCTATTTCTATGAAAAAAATACAAAAAGAAAATGAAAAACCTATTTTAAAAAATGGAATTTCAAAATCAATGGCTAAATATAATCGATATCAGCGTAAAACGTATTCTTGTAACCTATGTTTGGAAAAATTTACAAAATTCAACGATCTCATTATGCATGACACAGAAGTGCACACCAACATGCCAAAGAATTATAGTTGCAAAAAATGTGGAAAACTGTTTTTATCCGAAGAGCGTTTAGATATACACGAAAAGGTTCATAGAGAAAAATCTTTCGTTTGTCAAATGTGTCAAAAGAAGTTTACTCAACAAAAAACTCTTGATATCCATTTGAATGTTCATATTGGTTTATACCCTTGTCAGAAATGTGACTTTAAAGCTCAGACTATGTACAATTTAAAAATACATGAAAATACTCATTCAAAAGTCAAAGAGTATTGTTGCCAGGAATGTAAAAAGGAGTTTTCTACTGTATCATCATTGCGTAGACATAATCGTCTTGTTCATCAAAAGTTAGTTTGGTTCCGTTGTGATAAATGTGATTACTCTACAAGCCAGCCATCAAATATGAAGTATGATTAATGCTCATAGTAAATTATTTTTATTTATTTGTTTTATTTTATATTTTTAGGTATCACAAATCTAGCCATGAGCCACAAAATTGTATTTGTGATCATTGTGGTGCACGTTTTAAAAATCGAGATTTGTTTAAGGTACATTTAAAAACACACGAAGAAGCTAAGTTGAGTTGTGCTCATTGTGGAAAATTGTTTAAAAAAAAGTCACACCTCAAGGAACATTTAAGCAGTTGCTATGCATTGGGATATAGCATAAAACAATTTAAATGTGATGCATGTGAAAAATACTTCACGAGAATTAAGACTTTGCATAATCACAAAAATAAATGTCATCCAATTATTGAAATTTAATTTAAAAATATATTTATAATATGTTGTTATTTTTACTATTTTCATCTGAAATTACAACTAGTATAAGCAATTATTTTTTACACCTTTATACATTTAAATTTAATTAAATAATAATTAATTTGTAATAATTTCTCTCAGACTACCTATTGAATGTCAAATGTTTTTTAATTGTTTTAAAATAACATTTAATACCATATAGTATTTAATAGCTTTTAGACTTTTAGTGTATTAACAATTTTATTACATATCCTATAAACGTTTTAAGAAGAGTTGGTATGTATAATACATAGTTAAGGAAGTAAAAAATGATTAATATATAAATTAAAAATAGGATTATTATTTTTTATAATATATAATTTATTGTATTATACTTCTTAATACTGTATTTATAAATTGTAATTTTTTTCTATAAATACTCGAGCAACAATAAAAAATACATTGTTAAATTTTAGATTTTAGTTTTATGGGTCAAAATTGAAACTAAAACATTTTTGCATTTTAAAAATAATAACATTGTTTTCTTTTAAAATGTTAAAAATAAGAAATATTCAAATACATACTTGTACTAAATATTTCAAACTATTAAATTCAATTAGATCAAATATCACAGGTTTTAAATTTTATACCATAATATATATAATATAATATAACATATATTATAAAATTAATAATTATAGGAAATCAAACACAACAGTATAACTGAATAGTTTTAAGTATTTAAATTTATTTATATATATTATGAAACAGGCATTAACCTAATATCAATACAATTAAAATTAAAAATAATTCCTTAGCTGTTAGTTAAAAAAAAATAAAATTCAAAAAAATGGTACTTATAAGTTAAAATAGTTTCTATAAATAAAAAAAATATAATATTTTTGCTCGTGCATTTCTGTTAGTTTTTATGTAATTCAAAATAATTAAATGGTCATTATTTTCTATGTGCAATATAATTTATAAAATACAATATATTATGCTATAAGATTTTTTGCAATGTGATTTCAACAGCGTCTTTTATTGATTCAAATACAGGCACTTGTTCTCGTGATGCCAAATCCGCTAGATAAGTCCGTCCTCTATTATAGTCATTGATCGCCGTTTGTGTTAACTAAAAAATAAACAACTTTATTTAATCAGTATTAAAATTGTCATGTTTTAATATTTTAATGTGTGTATACCTTTTCACCACGAACTATGCAGTTATCTTTACTGAGATTCTGTATACATAATACCATTCTATAGCTTTTGGCTATACAATATGCTGCCTGTAATTATTATTACGGAATTCTATTAATTATTTATTGTTAAATAAAATCAAAATAATGGAATTTACTAGTGTCATGGTTGCTAAAGATCTTGAATTGTTTGGAATTACAAATAACAAAATACGTGCATCTAATAATACTGATAGGTCTGTTTTGGATGCTGCATGATATGTTAAATTAGATTTTCTACAAAAAGACAAAAAAATTAGTACCTATAGTTACTTATAACATCAAGCTCACAAAAAAATGTTTAAAAATGTACTTGATCATGGGAATAGCAATATCTTCTCTCCACCGAATATCATCACCACTTTCTCCAGCTAGATAAATATCGGTCGTCTTTGAAGATCTTGTTTCAACACTCTTTTGTGACAAGTAAAATGGTTTGCCTAAATTTGAACGATACGAATGTCCTGTAAAAATGTTTAAATGTTTAATACCATAGTCTTTTATTAACATTTAAATAGCCAAACATGTTTGATGCTACTTGTTAGTTGTTAGCTATTATAGGTTAATAAGTTATAATTCACCGATGTCGAATCCACTCCTGTGATTGCTTTTGTCTGGTAACTGTAGAAATTTAGAAGCAATAGCGTAAAATTGGTTGAATGTAAAATAAACTTGATGGTTACTTCCGACATCTGTAACAACACATGCATACATTAATAGAAGTTCTCGACGTAAAGAGTAACAATTTTCAAATGGTTTGTAAATTGTAATAGACAATTCTTAACTTACAAACAATTTATTTGCTGTAACTCATACAATAGACTAGACAAATGTGTATTACCTATATTTTTTTCAAGTCTATTAAAGTTTAGTAATTCTTGAATTATTATATTTGTTAACATGTAAATTATCACATTTTTAAATGCAAATAAAACAAAAATGATAATGTAAGATAAAAATAGCAGAAAACAAAATTCTAATAAAAAAACTCATTTTTTGAGGCGATTCAAAAACTAATTTATTATGATATTAAAAATAAAATGTTAATTTATTTTGTTTTTTATACCTTTGGTATCGCGGTATTCGGATGTCAGATTTAGCACATCATTTTCGGACAGATTCTGATTGGCTAACAGTTGGATAGCTCTTGTCACCTGAATAATAATAAAAAAACACACACACATGCCGTCAGTCGATAACTATAAGTACGTTGACGTTAATCGTAAATTATTATTCGAGTCCTACCCACAACATACATGGGAAATGTTAATCTCCCCCGGCGCATCGACGTTGAACTTGTTAAATGCATCACGGATCTTGCTGAAATGAAACATAATGCATTATATTATTATATTATAAAGTTTCTTTGTAATAAAATTTTTTTTAATAAATTATTTTTCAAGTTGTCTCAGATACAAAAATTGACTAAGCTTATTAAAATGTTATATCTCAAAGGTTATAAACAAATTTTAAAGATTTGATCAAGTTAAAATGTGTTAAAGGAAATACGAATCAAGAAGTTATACTTTTATATTTTTAACTATAACATTGGTAGTTTGGTAAATACCATATAGTGTGTGCACGTAGATTATATATTTGTATATTATATTTAATTCTTACCGATACGTAATGTCGTCTTCGCTGGTATCGTTGATTTGGCGGTTTTTGTTTTTCAAAATCTTGAATTTGTAGACAAAACAACAAAATTGAACACAATATTAAATATTAAAAAAAAAATTGTCACTCAAATCTGCATTTATTTTGAATTTGTTTATAATATATAGGTGGACTAAGGCCATTAAGAGCTTACATTTTGAAAGGTATAATAATTCTTAATATAAATATCAAGTAAAAAGCTTAGATACACTTAATATATTCTATTCTATTTTGCTTTTCTATTCAATGTAACTTGGGGGGGGGAGGGTTAGAATTTTAGATTAGACTAACATTTTACCTATTTAATTAGTTGAAAACAAATTAAGTTTAGATACTGGAAATTTAAAATTTTTTTATTAAAAAGACCGCTAATGATTAAAATATTTAATAAAGATTTATTTTTATGTTAAACTATTGATTTATTTAATGTATATTTGGTATCCAAATAAATTAATTGATTAAAAAGTAAATAAGTGAATACCGCTATGGGCGCTATGCTGTACATTGGAGGTTGAAGTGGATCACTATTATTGTTGTTAAAATTAAATGTAATGATTCACGAAAAACGATTCTGAGCAAAAACGGTCTATCAGTCTACATCAGCAAGTGATATGATTTTTTGAAATAGCTATTAAAGTCATATATTTTACTTTTAGTATTATAGAATATCAAAATATTTTTTTCCAAAAATAATGCATTTATTATATTATTTTATATTTATACCATATTATATTATTATATCAATTTACTTATATTATTCAAAATTTAAAAACGTCTCTTTGTAAATATCGTACAACAATAAAAATAGATTTATAATACCTACAAATAGATAATACTTTAAAATAGATCAAAAATGTTTTTTTTCATATAATAAAATTCATAGAAGTTAAAGTTCCAATGAATAATGTTTTTAAATTATAACAAAATAATTGACATATCGTTATGTATCACTTAAATAAGTAATTTCGTCCAAAATGGAACATAAAATGTCTATAAAAAATTAATTGTCTAATTAATTTTTTTAGATTTTATTGTTTTAATATAAACTACTTGTGAAAAATCTTATATAATATTTTCAAAACTTAGAAACAAAAAATTTTTCATAAATTTCTAAAAACAAACGAATCACTAATTTTCGCAACTTTCGTGAATTTTGACATTTTAATTTTAAAAATTCATAAAAAAATATTGTGACTAAAGATTATCAATAGTTTTTAATTGAAAAATTAACAATTTATTAGAAGCTTTGCATTACATTTTCATGCATTTCTACCAAGCAAATCATTTTTAATCAATATTTGTAAAAATAATAATAAAAAAATTGAAAGTTGTATGTCTATAAATAGTTCAAAGTAGTCAAAATATTTTGATAATTTCATCGTAAACATAAAACGATAATATTAATATTTGCTAAAAATCTTAAGTAATTTTTTTCGTTTTCTACTTATATAAAAAAAAAATAAAATCAATGTTGTTAAAAATGGGGTTTGTCTAAAATTTTGCGTTTTTCCTTAATTTTTGTTATTTTTCTCGATCATAAAGTAAGTATTCAGAATTTTTAAGTTTGACTTCTCAAAAACTAGATTCAATTTGATATCCAAGACTACTCACTTTTTTTTTTTTTAATTAAAATATTATATTGAAAATTTATCATGTACTTATATAAAAAAAAAGAAACACACTATGATAAAATAAAATAATACATTCATCGTTTCGCTCAGAATCTAAAATTATAAGCGATGATCATTGTATGAAATCAATCAGTAAATTATACACTTTTTTTGACTACTTTTATATCACATGGTTCTCGGGCTTTTTTCCTATCTAAATGAATAAATTGATGAAAAATTGAAAGCTATTTAAGATGGGGAAATTTAAATATTTGAGAATAATTTGTTATTTGTTTTCAGAGTACAATACGGATAGGTTATAGTATGCTACTTATTATAACAAATTAGATTTTTTTTACAAAAAGTTATTAAACTGACAACATAATATCCACCCCTAAGTCTTTCTGTGTTAATATATTAAATACCTGAATGACATTGTTCAATGCTTCCGGTATGTTATCGAATACTAGCGTTCTCTGGTTAGCAGCGATTTTTTGTAACATCGTCAGGGCTTCTTTAATGTCTTCCGCTTCACGGTAAGAGATGAGTTCGCCGGCGATCACCGATCCGGTAATTGCGTCTTGTGGATGGATGACTAACACCAAATTATTATGATTACCGGCGAAATTGGCTGTCTCTATGTCGCTGACCACGTTCCTGGTTTGGTTGTCGATCACGTAAAACAGTATAGTCGCGTTCTCCTTGGCCGCGTGTTCTATTTCGATTAGATCTTGGCTCCAATGGTCCACTTGCTATAAACCACATAAAACGAAATGTTAAATTTTGTAGAAACCTTTGTTTAAATTTGATTTTGATAAGATAATATTGCCGTCAACATATTTGTCTTCGGAGAAAATATATAATACATAAAAAACCTATCTTATATTATATACTTATAAAATAGTTTTTATTTTAAATGTTGGAACGCAGGCCGCAGTAATATGTGCCAAATACTATAATATTGATTGTATAAAGATTGTCAATTGCTTTTATGCGTAAAAAAGGGGGAACACCCAAACACGTAGATATATTTTATAATAAATAAATAAGTACTTATACATGCTATATTTGATATTAATATATACCAGAAATGTCATTCGAATGATGGATAATATAAATTTACAAATTTACAATTATTCATATATTTACGCAGTTACCTATTTTCATAAATTGTGTGCAGTTATACTTACTGCTATGAAATTATATGATACGATAAACATTTGTCATCAAATAATAATATATTATTAAATACAAATTAGCATAATTAGCTATTATAGCTACATAATACCTACCTTATAATTTATCATATAAAATGTGAATATTATGCTATATAGAAACAAATTCCGTTGCAAATTAATGTTGTACCTACTCCAGTACCTGTATAATATACTGGAAATATATCAATTTAATTACATTTTGCAAAATACCATCATGCATATAAGTTAATTGTTTATTTGACATATATTAAATACCTATACACGCATTTTTTTAATGACTAACTAAACAAATGCAATATACGTTAAATAATAATTAAAATCAATTGTGCTTCTTACAATAAATTTAAGTTTAAAAAACATCATTTTTTTTTAAATGTAAAAAAATTAATAAGATCTATACTACAATCAGTTAGAATTTTAACAATAATTATATTTTGTGAAAAAAATTGTTACTACGAGACCAATGATCATATTCTTTATCATTTGAAGCGATGGCTCTTTATAATTGAATCCTTGGTTGATGATTTTATATTGAATAGAACAGAAAACAAGTATAGACCTTGATACAATATTATCCTAAAAAATTTGAAATACAAGTATGCATTTGTAAGCATGTTGAAACAAGTACGTTTAAATCATATACTTAACATTATGCCATATTTAAAAAGGAACAAATCGTATGAGTTAGTTTATATAAAGCAAACCTTAAACGGAATAAATGAAACATTAATACCATGACATATGTTTCTACATATGTAGAAAAATTAAACCTATTTTTTACCAAAACGTTTTGACTATATGGGTATAATTCGATTTAATTTCTGCAAAAAAGTTTTGATGCGGAATATTTAATGTTTGAGAAAATTAAAAAAAAATTATCAATGTAAATATTATAATTAATGCGTACAAAATAACTTTTATTCAAGTTACGCCTAACAATTTTCGCTTGATAATATTTACAGTTTAGTATTACATTATGAATACCAACCGGATTGTAAAATGACACACCGGTATCTTGCAAGTACGGTATGGCCAAGTCTTTGCGCCACGTAGTTGGATTGCAGGAACCGCCCAGGAACACATCGTAGCTGTGAAGACTTCCTACATAAACGGAGGATATTAATGATAACAGGATTCGGAATAAGAGTGTGCATATAGTTGTCACCGGCGGGCGTAACTTAATATTATTACAATTGGACATTATGTTTGGATTTGGCTTACTCGAGTTTTTTTTTACTCCCTTTATGTGTTTTTCTTGATCTTTTTCTAATATCCGTGAAAATTGCACTGATCTTGGTATACTGCAAAAGAAAAGTTTGAATATTAGTAAAAATGGACAGTATATCATTATCATAGTGAAGATATCTAATTAGTGAAACGTAGTATACGACGCAATATATTATACGTACCTATGTGTATTCAACACATGAATATGAAATTCCTATTTTTATTTAACAAAACGAAGATAGAAACAATTATGATTTTGATTCGCACAGAAAATTTTCTGAGCGATAAATAAATTATCATTCAAACAAGAGTGACAAGAGATGCAATGGTGTTGTAGTTAACTACTATACAGTATTAATTGTGTTGGTATAAACATTTTTATACCATGTCTCATTCATAAGTTTAATATCAATGCATAACACAGAGGCATATTAAAATATAGAATCTTTTTTTCGTAATAAATATAAATAGATTCTGGAAGTTTATATAATATACATCATCATTCACTATTATTCTTTTTTCGTTTGTCAGTGCATGTAAGTAATAATTGTAATGTGTTATTTAATAGTGAAAATTATTGTATATTCTTAAGGAATTTCAGTAGCGGGGACAACATAAATAGTAAAATGCATAATATTATATTCATTACTGGTCTGTTGAACAATTGAATGACATATTACTGGGACTAAAATTGATCTATTCCAAAAACTACAGTTAATAGTTGTGAATTTAGAAAATATCTTAAACTTAAATACAACTTCTTATTAGCAAATAAGTGAGTATGTTATTTTGAATTTTTGAAGTTGACAGTTGACGTACGGTGTCTTCTCCATCAAAACTGTAATATTTTCAAATCAAATCAATATTAACTATTGACAGACGAGTGGATATTTCAATACTCATTGCATTGAGGCTCAAATTATTCTTACTACGTCGATGTAAATATTATTAATAATAGTAATATGTTTGCATCGTTTGTTTATTATAATAACTATATATTATTAAGGATAAACATATAACTGAGAATAGAAAATGATGTAATCCTTTTAAGTATACGTGGCGTGTCATAAATTAAAATAAATAATTTTAATGATTTACCTACATGATTTTCACTAGTTGCGTAGTTAAACTTACACACAATATAATTTATAGCATAATATATTATTATATATCTTAGTTATTGTAGAGTATAAAACATTTCAAAGGAAAATAACTACACTACACCATCAATGGAGTTTTTTTTGGAAAATATATTTTAACAGATGACCAAATAGAGACGATTTTCTCAGGAATATAATATATAGTATATATAATTTAATACATAATAATATTTATAGGTTAATTTTAATATTCAAACATTAGAAACAATTTCAATGCTGTAAATGTCAATAAACCATAGAGTGATATTGTACTATTTTTCAAAAGAATACACCGACATATTAATTTATGGGAATTTGTCCAATTTTACAGAGGAATTATTTTGTGAGTATATCACCATTATAAATAAACGTGAGCACATCAAATTATTAAAACTTACGACTAATGGTTTAAGTAAGAACAATAATGATTATTATTGCTTAGCGAAAAGTATTACAATAAAATGACTAATTTTAATTATAATAACATCTTTGCGTCGGAGTCGTTATTAATTTACCCATCAGATAAAAAAATTAATTGATAAAAATACAATTAAAAAACAAAAACATATGATGAAGGATTCTTTTTGTTTTATCGGTTTTGTATGATAAATTTATTATTATTCAACATAGGTAACTCTATAAATAGAATGTATATTTAAGATCATGCAGAAATATGACAAGTATTATAAGATAGTGTATATTCAATGTTTTAATGACATCATTAACATTAAGTATTATATAATTACATCCAACGTTTTATTATCTTTGAAAGAGTATATTTTATATCAAAGAAGATGATAATTTAAAAAATAATTGAAACTACAGCTAATGTTCAGTTATATAAAGTATGAGCAAACATCATATAAATTAATTCTACCAGATATTTAATTGATTTTAAATAGATATATAGGTATTACGTATTTTTTAATAATACTATATATTTAATATTAATGTATTATACTAAGATTATGTTACACTTGCATGTATTGTCTCCGTCTTACAAACGTACAACATGGTAAATGTGCTTTCAGTAGAACCGATCATGTGTTGTTAACTTTAATATTAGAGCCAATTTACCTATGATTAAACTTAAAGGTTCAACATTATCTATTTTTTGTTGTCAAATTTTACAATGTTTTGATTTTCAAGCAAGTTATGAGCATTTATATATTTTAATATTATACATACTCATTCTTTGCTTTAAAGTCAAAATATCGCAAAAATCCAAAGAGAGATAATAAATAATCTTTATACCTTAAAGTTTGATAAAAGGTTAATTCACTCTAATATTAAAGTTAACAATATAAAATTAGTTCTTCTGAAAGCAAATTCGTTATGTTGTACGTTTGTAAGATGGATACAACGCATGTGGGTGTAGCATCCTCTTAATATAATTATTTATAAATACAAATTTAAACAAAGAATGAATACTTAAATAATCATCTCATCAAGCAGATAAATAGTACAAAAGTTTGTTGAAATAATTTTTTTTTTATTTAATGTATGTAATACGTATGCTAAATAGATATATTTTTAATTTTGGTATATTTATTAATAGTTATTATTCAATTGTATATCTTTACTTTAAAATACAGAAATATTATATATCTTAATTGAAAAAAAATCTAACGTCACACATTTTTTTTTAAATGTATACATCAACAACTATATATTGGACAATTTTTTAAGTTTTTTTATTTTTTGAATAAAACATATAGATAAATGTTTAATTTAATTTCATATTTCAAAGTAAACATAACTTTTTAATAATTTTGATGTACTTATAAAAATTGAAATTTCAACGAGTAGTTTATTGGTTATAACTTATAAGCAAAGATAAAAAAAATTCCGCTTTAGAATATGAAATAAAAATTATAAGTTATCATTCATGTAAATAAAATTTAAAAAAATAATAAAAAACGATAAAAATAGCAAAGTGTTATTTTGTCATAATAATGACTTAACATAAAATATATTTATATACATACATAATATATATATATATTCAATGTTGGTGAGAGCTTATCGAGATAATGAGAATTTATTGATAAAATAATCACCAAAAATTACTCATTATATAGATGTTTAAGACTACTTCCTGGTTTCTTAGTATTTTGGTATTAATTTTTAATTATATAATATATTAATAATAAAAAATAATAATTAAAATAAAAATGTCTTTTTTGATTGCTTTTTGTTATTTTATTTCTATGGTGTTCTGTCAAACTGTATAGTTATAAGAAATGCGCCGTGAACATTAAAAGGTTGAGAACCATTGCTCTAGATTATCATCTTTTAAATTTATTAATAGATCAATATTAACTTTTTAATATTAAAAAACCAGAATTAAGTAGATTATTTAGAGTGTGAAATCGTCTATTGATACATGTAAACACATATTTGTACGTAAGGCGGAAACAAAACTTTCCATTTTAACATTTTATTAACACTGTAGTGTACTCTGCATGTACCACGGTCGTGGTACATTTGTGTGCCGCGGAACACTGGTTGAGACACACTGATCTAGAGCTTAACGTTGGTTTTTTTTATATTTTAACTTCATAGTAAGTTATAAATATTTTAAAATTGTAATATTTATGCATTTAGTATAATAAAAACCTAATTGACTTACAAGTACACGCAATTTTCAAGGAAAATATAAAATGTTATTTAATTTTGTCATATATGATTTTTATGATTAGTATTAAAATTCAAAGCACTTTACAGTATTATTTATAACTGTTTTTTTTTTTTAATTTCAACAAGGTTTATACAACACTATACACGTATAAATATCTATTATATCTATATATAGATAATAATTAATAAACAATGGTGCAACATGTATAGCTAATCACTGAGCATACTATAAAGATACAAATTAAATACATCGAACTGTTATAACTTATAATATTGATTAATAATCATCTAAACGTGAATTTACATATGCAACTGAATCTCTTGAATTTCAAAAATATTTATTTTTTTTTATTGTAGGTATACACTATACATGCAGCAAGTATCTAATATGAAACAATATTGGATATAGGTATTCATATGGCATATACGATATTACGATATAACCAAATAATAGTTACACATATAATAGAACATAAAGATAATTGTAATAAACCAAACTAAAATTTCTGCTTATTATTTACCCTCTATCCAAGCCGTTTTTGAGTTTCTTAGCCAATAAACAAAATTCACCAAATGTCATGTACACCGGCGAATTTCTATTGGCACATTTCATTACGCACTGCATCATTTCAGCGACTGTTTGAAAACGGGTAAAATGACAAAATGTATTAAAGTAAAGTTACATGCAAATAAGGAAAAGTTTTGTTGCAAAAGAATTACCTTGGGCCGAGGTCAAGTACAATCCTAGGTCGTTGAACAGTGCTTGAACTCTGTGGGCCGGCGCGTTCGTATTTTGGGAGCCCACACGCGAGTTCCATGCCGAACACAATTCTCTACAAGATATAAAATAAAACACAAATATTTGTATAAATATCATATTGTATAATTAGGTAAATACAAGAAAGAAAAATTTGGAATCGCCTTAGCATTTAGTTTTAATTATTTTTTTATTTATTAATTTGTATTACATTTAAGTGCGCACAGAAAGAAACCATGTTGACGCTATTAAATCAAACAACGCACAGAGACAACAAAAATAGTTAGATAGTGTATAATACATAAAAGTATTGTAGGTACCTACTATGATAGGATTAGAACAATATGCAGATTAGATATGCGCGCGTGAGGATTTTTTTATACCTACTATCGAACTAATAATATCAGCCGGTCGAATTGCATTAATACAGTGTGTGTACAGAATAAAATTCCTACATAATCTAATTAAATTCCAGTACACTCGATATAAGTCAAAAATACTGTAATAACAGATAATTTAATAACAATCATAATTAAATTGGAAAATCCAATAAAAAAAAAAAGTAAAAAAATGCATTAAATTTCTTAATATTATATATAATTAATACAGACGATGTATAATATTTATGTTAAAATAAATAAAATGACAATGAAAAAACTACAGACCGTTTATCGGAAGAATGTGGCTAATTCGTGCATACGATTGGAGTCGAGATAAGTTAAGATGTGGGTTGTTGGGTTGAGGAACGATGTATTTTAGTCTATACGCAATCACATTCTCTCGAGACGAATGAAATGAAGTAGTTAGTGAAACTAATTATGAATAAAATTAAGAATACACGGTTTGTTTTGTTTAATTTAATTTTTATTTAATTGTCAAAATATTGATTTTAATTATTATTATTTTTTATCTACTCATAGGTAATAAAAAGTTCAATAAATGTATTTTGAATGTAATTTATAAATTTTAATTTATAGATGTCTTATAATACTTTATCATAGATTGTTGTTTTTACATAACATTGTATACACATAATTAATGGTGCTTTGACTTTTATGTCGTGATAACGAAAATTTGTGTCATTCTACCTTTATAACCTTTATACCTTTATAACATACAGTGGTTTTCTTAATTTGTGTTATATTATATAATATAATACAATTGTAGATAATCAAAACTATTGACTTTCATTAAGCCCAATGTTACCATGTTGTTCACCTCACTTATTTTATCCTTGAATAATACTTTTATTTATATACTTGTTTTTTTTTTTAATTTTCAAGTATACTTTAAAATTATATATTACAATTTACAATATTTAAATGTATATATCATTAACTATTAAGGAGTGTCAAAATTGGCAAAAAAAAAATGTTATTCTCTTTTGTATAATCCATTCTGTAGATGTATTATACTTTGAGGTTTAGGGCAGAATTGTTAGTTTTTAGAATATTATTGACCATACTGTAGTTTTTTTAAAATGAGATCTGTGCTTAATTTTTAACTAATATATTAAGTTAAATTATTTATTTTTAATAAATAAAAAAGTAATTTAATTAACTTACATGTCTAGTAAAATCACACAACAACTAACTTAACAAAAGTATAATTAAATTAAAGTTTGGCATTCATGTTTAGTTGTTATCAATAAGACAAATATATATTATATTATTATATATATATATATATATATATATATATATTATTAAAACTATAAAAGTTAAAGTATTTTATTTTAGACATATTATTTTTATGTGTTACGAAATAACAGTTTAATTATTTTAATTATGTTTTATGAATTATAATTATTAAAACTGTATACCACTAAATGTTTGCTATATAATTTTAAATTATGTTAATTAAATTAAATTTAATGTATAATTTTGTTATTGCCTAAAATGATAAAAATTATGTTATGTATACATACTGTCAATGCTAAAAAACAATTGTTTTTTTTTTTAATATCTATGAATTATCTATTTATTAGTTAAATTAAACTACAAAAGGATTTATAATATGTAAAATATAGATAGGAATCTTTTTTTTTTTAAATATAAAAAATAATATAAAATTAGCCATGCAAGTTCGACCAGTACTTTAATACTTACTACCAGTAAGTTACTAATACGTATAAACCTACACCAAACTTTTGCACTAAAATTAGTTTTGAACTATTATTTGTTTTGAAGATACAGTAAGACAAAGTTAAAATTTTGTCGAAGTTACGAACTTCTTTGAAATATATTAATCCGCAAGCATTTTTCGTAGCTATTTCCAATAGTCCAGCCATAATATATGATATTATTAAATAGATATTTTATCATTATTGAAAAGGTTTTGTTAAGCCGATTTGTACATATTATGATATTAAGACAGATCAAATAAGAAAATAAAAAAACAAAAGTGACGCAATCTGTTCAATAAAAATTTAAAAACAAAATTTACCTGTAAGGAGTCAGGTAATGATAATTATAAAAATCAGCAAGTAACCTAACGAGTTTGTAAAATAAAAGACAATAGTAGTTTAATAATGTTTGTTATTCAAATGTACATTAAAAGGCAAATGTTCTCTGCATGTTTGTAGCTTATAGCTAATAACTAAAATACGTAATACATATTTTTACCCGTAAAAAATTTGGATAGGAGCATAGATTAAAAGGAGAAGCCCAAACGTCGATACTGAACTATGTGTGCTAACAAATGCAATATTTTAGACGTTTTAGTTTTAAAATGTGTTTTTTGGTAAAATTAAGGTATTAAAATTAGTATTAGACTGTCTAGTGTCTAGACTAAAAACTTAAAACATTAATACATCTATTTTATGATTTTGTAAAACCATAAATAAGGAGTAGGTACTATCGTCTATTCTTATTATAAGTATAATAGTATAAAAATACATACATTTAAGTAATTTAGATAAACTTTTCGTTTTAATTTAAATTTAGAAATACTAACACTTTCAGAGTATAATTTGATTAAAAATATATATTTAATAAACTTAACAATAAAAAAAGCTGATTTTCATTGTTTGTATCACCACTGGAAACCCTTCTAATTATATAAAAACTTGAAGAGTTTGAAAACACAGTTCCTAAGTATACACTTAAAAATTCTAGAATTTAAATAAATACATAAGAAATGTTTCACTCTGTATATGTTATACGACCATAAAACAGTTAAATGTACAATCTGTTAGAATATATAGGTACTTGGTATATGGAAAAATATTTTAATTGTTGACTATTATACAAATGTAGTGTATAATATTTGATTTCCTGCTATTGTCATTTGTTTAAAACCTATGCATATATTTATAGTATTTCATAAAATCAATTTATTACTAATACTTATAATACAATAATAATTGCGCTTTCATATTATAGCCTCTTTATTTAAAATTGTATAACCGAAATTCAAATGCAAAATTACCATTATTGTTGTTTTTTTTTTTTAAATAAAAAATATTAAAAATATACGACAATAAAGAAATCATTAAAATATTTTAAATCGTCAGAAAAATAACATCGCATACACGAATACAAGAATAATTAATCACTCACGTCTTTATTTATTTGTTTGTCTTATTTCAATAGATAAATTGACTATACTTACTGTTTTCATTGTGAGTGCGTATTTTTATTTTTGTGTATAATTACACATACACACATGCGTATAGTTTAAACAGTCACGCATCTAAGTATAGTTTTGAAAACAGGATATTTTTTTAACCATAAATATGTTTCATGTATGATTATTGTGCCAAAGTGGTCCAACTTTCGTAAAACATTATCACTAAATCGAATATTTTAAATAAAAAAATAATATGTAGATGAAAACTTTTGGAATTTATTAATTTAGCAGAGTTAGTTCATCAATTTTAGGTGTTCGTCTTACAAGGAGTGTTATGAAAATAGATACTTATTTTAGCATATCTTGTTTGACTACATATAGTGGGCGCTTGGGAAAATAAATAAATGATTTAAAAAGCAAAAAAATTAATGTAATATATTTATAAACTAAAAAAATAATAATTCAAATTAAAAGAATGTAGTTTAAAAAAATAGTATGATCTGTAACATTATATTTTAATATTATAATATATGATACATAATAGTGTAGGAAGTAAATATAATCAAAAATCAAACTACTATATATTATACTCAAATTATAATTATCATATTATTAAGTGCTATAACTTATAAAATAAACTAACCAAAAATACAGTTATTATTATAACTATTATCGAATTATGTATAGACGTATAAAAAAATAATGACAAAACGTTACCATTTGTAAAATTTTAGTTATTACTCATTAAACTTTATTAAAAAATTTAATGGTTAAAATTATTTCCTCATTTCCGTATCATATTTACCAAAAATTTTATTGTTTGTTACTAAAGGTTTACTAAAAATTAATTTTTGGTTAATTTATAAAATAAACGTCTAGACTAAAACTCAAGATGTAAGTATTATGAAATTACGGGAGGAGAAGTCGATTGATTGTATCGTCGTATCCCATAGTGGTATTTGGAGATAGGTAGATGGGTCGCTATAGTGCTTAAATACATAACTTGCAAGTATTAAAGGCTGCAAGCAAAAATGACTTATTCGCTCTGAATATTTTACTTCTTTAAAAAGATTTTAATTGATAATTTTAAAATTATAAGTCATAATCATAACATTCAAAAAGTAATATGGCCAAATAAATTTTAAGTTTCTCTAAATTGTCCCGTTTACATTTATAGATTTCTACAATATATTTAATTAGAGCATTAAAATAGAACTATTAAATTGAAAACAATGTATGCCAAGTTAAAAGTGCATGAGCAAAAGTTGCAAAAGTTGCCAGTTGCCATGAAAAATACAAAAATTTAGAAATATATTGATATGAGTACTATTGGTATATAAAAAAATTACAAACATCTTTACGCTTGCCGGGATGTAAAAAATCATCATCATGACACAATTTCAAAAGGTTAACTACCGAACTCATGACAGCATACCAAAATGAAGGCATACCTAACAATAAGATTCATATTAGAATCGTCCTAAATATGCAACTATAATAAGTATA